GCATACAAATAGGGCTTTATCAAGTTAATGGCTTAATAAAGCTTTCACTGAATGAATGTTTTTTTTTAATTTATTCCAGTTAATGATGTGAAAAGCCTTTTCCTGGAACAAAAGCTGAAGCTTTTGTCTGGACAACATCATATTTGGTATAGAGTTTTTATCAAGCTGTATTTCTTCCAGCATTGTCGGCGCCTTTGTATCTAATATCTCAAAGGCATTCAAAGTTACAAATAAAAAGGAGCAAAAAACTCACCTCCAATGAGCTTTGGTATATTCACGTTTAACAGGAAAATGAAAACAATGAGGAGAAATAGGCTTACTTTCTTCTCGCAGACGAAGGGAAAATATATTAGCGACTACCATAACCACCTAAGAATTATGGTTATCACATTATTTATGATATTCATTACTGACAGACTGATGAATAAGACACGTGTGCAATGCTTGGGTGTCTTTTTTGGAGAAAGGTTTAGGCGATTTCTCCTGTATCCCACTGAAGAATCCTTTTCTGCAGGCGAAACGTTAAGATGCCTAAATGTTGTACTTGTGTCTTATTCAGTTTATAATTTATTAGATAACTCGAGCTATTGGGAGAACAGTCGCTTTAAATTTATCTCTTGCATTTAATGTTGTTGCTTGTGGACTTCCTGATTCTGTGGAAGTCTTCTGAGGTTCAGCATAAGTGTTTGGGCATAATGCTGTTTGGGCATAGTGCATTTAAAACACTTCTTCAGTGAGCAATTACCTCCCATTGTGTTAACCTAACCACTTGGTGCACCGTTGTTTATTATCTTTGTACCTTGTTCAGCTATCAAAACTTTGGGGCCCAGTCCCTGGACCCATTATGTACTTCTGTAATCTTTTGACTACCTCCCACAGGATGGGTATAGGGTCCTAAATAAACATATTAAACTAACTTATTCATCTTCATTAAGGAATTATCATACAAACCAAACAAGGTGGGAAATTTAGGACTCTAAGCAAACAGTATACTCCATCTTATCTTATCTTGCTTCCAAAAGCAGGTTCACTGAAATACTTAGCCACCCCACGGAGCAGTGAATGTTGGCACTGTCAGTGCCAACATGGTGCAATAGAAACTGTCTAAACTTTTAAGGGGAACTCAAGAAATAGCCACTTTGGACTTGATTTTTGGAATTATCCTGGTGAGTAGTTTACACTACGTATGATATTTGTACTTACGTGTACCCGTGTCTAAATAAGCTTACTAATATGTACACCGGGAGGTGTATGTCTCAACCTACATATGCTGAGAGTTTTCTTTAATCCGTATTTTAGGTATTAAAATATACATTCGGTGAAAGGTGACATGCAGTCTTAACGACCCTCAAGAGCTGTTTATTTTTGTATTTTTTCCAGAGAATCTTTACATTTAAAGTTGTGTTTTTACCTAAAAATTATATTGTAACATTCTGTGAGATTTTGTAAAGTGTACACATGAAAATGTGTCTCCTTATAAGAAGAGAGATGATGTAATTGTGGTTAAAGACACATGGGAAAACAGTTAAGACATTTAACATTGACATGTTTGGGTCTTGGGACCTTGTACACTCCACGCCACAACTTGTCTATATTACAAGCCAAGATTTCCCCATAATGTTGATAGTTATTGAAGGTGAGAGATCGTTTGAGAATGAGAGGTGATGTGTAGCCAGTGTGTGTATTGCGACACCAAGGCTGACCCGATGAAGCCTGAGTGAATCTGTACTCACTAAGAGATGAGTTAGACACATATGCAACTCCTCGGTATCGTATGTGCTTTTCAACAGTCTTTCAATTTAGGTTTAAGTCATATTTTTTGTTGGTTAAAACCTCCATAAAATGAATCTGTTCATTAATTTCTTCCTTATAGTAGAGGCTCTACGGAAATTATATTATTAGAAAGGTCCCAGTAGCTTATAACACACCTGGAGTATACCTGGAGTATACCTGGAGTATACCTGGAGTATACCTGGAGAAGGTTTCTGGGGTCAGCGTCCCCGCGGCCCGGTCTAAACAAGGTACACCTAGACCTTGTGCAAGGTCTTGGTGCACCTAGACCTTGTCTAGGTATACCTTGACCTTGTCTAGGTGTACCTTGACCTTGTCTAGGTGTACTATAATTGAGTGTTTATTGTGAGTTTCCATATCAGATCTGCAGCCCTGTGCTCTACTCCTGTACTACTGACGGTGATAAATATTACCACAACCAGGAAATAATTATTACTGGAGACGTTAGTACCAGTCACTGCTGAGATTCTAGACAAGGTCTAGGTGCATCATTAACTAATAGGGGAGCATGGCACTGCTACTCAGAAACCTGCAACTCAACTGACAGTGAAAATAATTTCAAGTGAAATACCTTCCGTAGAGTGTTGTGCGGATGGATACAGAAATCGATTTTCGGCATTTCACTGAATGCATACATGATTTTATCAAGAAATTTTGGATCATCTTATACCTAGTACAAACTGAACTTAGCTAATATCTGCAGTAGCCACAATCTGAGGCATTAGAGTGCATTTTTAGATGAATTTTGAGACGACATTCGGTCCTTCCTGAACCATCATGAAGTGAGAACTGAATGACCAAACGTCGACTTAAGTTTTCTTTCTCCCACGTACGGTTGTTTGTGTCTGTGTGAGTTCATTCACTCTGGCGTCATATCTCTTCATGGTCAGCTTATATCACAGCATCTATATCGCAGCATCAGATAATTAGCAACATTCTGGTTGATTCCTATTGAGATCTTTGATGTTGCTGGTTGTAACAGAATACTTTACGCTTACTCTGGGTATGTGAAATATAAACACCTGTCAAAAGAAAACCTTTAATGGAAAATGTTTCTTAACAATTGAGGGCTTTATTAAGCAATTAAAATTATGATTTTTTTGTTGTATTCACAGTAGGAGTTAAGGAGGTGTCACAGCAGGTGTTACAGCAGGTGTCACAGCAGGTGTTATAACAGATGTCAGAGCAGGTGTTACAACAGGTGATATAGCAACTGTTTCAGCAGATGTAGTATGTGTTGGTGATAGTGATCACATCTTGACATAGCTCATTTGTTAGTAGACTGAGCAGCATATCGTATGGTACTGAGTTTCTCTGAATGTTTGATGATTTTCTTCAGCGGTGTTCTGTGTTAGAATAACAAAGGATCTCTGGGTTTCTGCTACGTGTCCTCGCTGTCTCCAGTGTTGTACTTCAGGAACCTAACAAGGATTAGGTTCACACTTGGCAAAACTCACTTTTAAGAAAGGCATTCTCCATTATATACTCAAATGTCTTTGCTACACCCACAAGTCATCAGATAGACACTTGAGCTGCTAGTTACTATTTATTTACGTCGAATACCTTCTTCGCAGGGCACGTAATCACCGAGGTTACAACACAGTAGCGTTGTTGTCTGTACCCCATCATACTGCCAGGGACCTTCACACAGTCTGTAGTACAGGAACACCTGTTGAAGACAATTGCAAAGTGAATATCACTAAAAAACATAAATATGTTAAAATAAGCACTGCAGTAGGCCTCCTGGCCAGTGCTAATCGGATCCTAGTAACACAAAAATATTTAAATTTTTATATTATTTAGCATATATTAATAACTTCTAAAGATGTTGGTTTAAGTGTTGCTACCTGGTAGTTTTTTCAGTCGTATATAAATATTTAGCTGAGGCTCTCATTGGCAAGCACTAACAACTTCCTAAATATGCAAATTACTGAATAATCCTGGAAGACAGAGTTATTTTAAGCATTATTGCTAAGAAGGTTTTTGTTGTGGGTTCGTCAAAGTGAGGTTACTGACTTGATGATTCAGTCTCCTTACACTGGTGTAAGATTGTGTCACATACCCAGGTGAGTTATAACCTGGGAGATTTTAAAAAACAAACGTTTATCCCACCAGGAAAAAAAAATCTTCCAGAGAGAGAGAGAGAGAGAGAGAGAGAGAGAGAGAGAGAATCGTTTCCATGACAAAAATATTTATGTGCTACGTATGTCCTGATTACATATTCCTAAAATAATGAATTTTCTTAAGCACGCACTTTAAGCCTTCCCTGCGTCGTGCCCCTGAAAACACCTCCCCTGGGACCGTGTTTCATGTCCCTCCTAGTTAAGTGTTGAATATTTTGCTGTCCAAGGGTCACTCCATCTCAAATCAGTATCCAGATCTCCATTGCCGTTATTTCGTTCCACTGTAAACAAAAGTAATTTTTATACATTAGAATATACATTAGAAAAACGACGTCGTAAGCGGATAGGTGCTAAATTAAATGATACTTCAAATAGTGACAACTTTTATGTCCCTTAGAGAAGGAGAGAGAGAGTGAAGGAGAGGGAGGGAGAAGAGAGGAAGAGGAGAGGGGAGAGAGAGGAGGAGAGAGAGAGGAGGGAGAGAGAGAGAAGGAGGAGAGAGAGAGAGAGAGAGAGAGAGAGAGAGAGAGAGAGAGAGAGAGATGAAAATGCTGGCCCACATATGGCTCCAACTTCATCCTGTTCATTACTTGTATATCTCATAACAATAAAAATACTTGTATATCTCATAACAATAAAAATGCTTTCAATGAGCTGATGTAGGTAACAGCTCTTCGTGTGTCAGTAAAGTTAGGAATCCTTAACCTGTAAATAGCTTGTCAATAAAGCTAGGGATCCTTAACCTTGTCAAACCCTGTGTAAAAACAAAAGAGAGAGAGAGAGAGAGAGAGAGAGGGGAGAAAAGAGAGAGAAGGAGAGGAGAGAGAGAGAGAGAGAGAAGGAGAGGAGAGAGAGAGAGAGAGAGAGAGAGAGAGAGAGAGAGAGAGAGAGAGAGCCTGCCCCCCCTCTCATCTGCGACTGCTTGACAGAGTAGAGAACAGAGCAAGACGTCTCATCTCTCGCCTGGACCCATCTTGGATAGATCTGTCATTTCAGCAGAGCCTTCAACATAGGAGGGATGTGGGTGGCCTTACTGTTATGTACAAGGCCAATATTGTCAAAATACCACACTTGGATCCACTTCGAAGACAGCATAAAAACAAGCTTTTATGCCACAAGACGGGCAAAAGCAGCAACTTCACTTCTGGCTTGTACCCCCCTTCTCCGAACATCACTCCATCTGAGATCATACATACCAGGAAAGGGCTCGAGTAGGAACACATTTACAGCATAATGATGCAAAGAGATAAAAATCAGTTGATCAAATGAAAATCTGGCCCACAGATGGCTAAACTTCATCCTGTTCCTACTTGTATGTCTCACAACAATTTAAAAAAGCTTTCCCAAAAGAGCTGATTAGGTAACACTTCCTTTTGCTTGCCAATAAAGTTAGGAATCCTTAACCTGTAAATAGCTGTCAATAAAGCTAGGATCCTTAACCTTGTCAAACCCTGTGCAAAAAAAAAAAAAAAAAAAAAAAGAGAGCGAGCGAGAGAGAGAGAGAGGAAGAGGGAGAGAGAGAGAGAGAGAGAGAGAGAGGGGAGAGAGAGAGAGAGAGAGAGAGAGAGAGAAGGAAGAGGGGAGAGAAGGAGAGAGGAAAAGGGGAGGGGAGGGAGGAGAGAGGAAGAAGAGAGAGAAAAGAGAAGGGGAGAAGGGGAGAGAGAGAGAAAGTTTAAACGACTAACCTCTTCCTCACAAAAGGGTGCACTCCTTCTTCTCCATTTCACAGGGTTTCCCGGGGTTTGGGGGGAAGGGTTATCACTTCCAACTCTTTCCCTTTAAATACATCAAACGGGGGGCCACCACAGAGACAAATCTGGTTCTGGCGGTGGCTGAGCCTGCATAAGACAACCTTTAGTTTGTTCTCATTAAGTAAACGGAGTTTGTTTAGCCAGTATGTGAAAATTTGTGGAAACAATTTTAAGTTTCGATTCCCTTTTATGGTCGAAACTGCTTGTGAGATAAAAGATGAGGAAGTTCTTACATACTATAAAAAATGTGTTTTGTCCCCGTTTTTCAAGAGAAACTGGTCAAAACTGGACACTTCAGGAAAAAATTTAAACAAGTTTTTTTCACAACTGCCAACATGTTTTTTGATAAGTTTATGCAAACACCAGAATACATAATACAATATCTGCAATTTATTGACCGTTGCACTCATTTCCTGAATGCATCACAAATGTCAACCAGCCTCTTCTCGTTGTATTTATACAAAGTCTATTGTAAACACTAAAAACCAAAAGCTTCTCAAAACCTTTATGCTTGAATACATTTCGCTTTTAAATCATTGCTGTTTTATTTTTCCCAAAGGGTTACTATTAAAGGAAAATCATTTACTTTCATTCAAAATAGTAGGCGTTTCTCGAAAAGGCGCAGATACACAATAAAAAAAATTTATAGTGTTTTCCCAATGCTGTCAAAGACATATTTGGAGATGCATAAAAATAAATCTGGGAATACCTGGAAAAATCAATTCTGTGTTCACTTTAATATCTTCCTTCATACAGTCTACCAAAATCCCCATTAACCCCTAAAACCTACTTCAGAATTTTCCCAAAAAACTCGGATTGGTAGGAAATAAAGATTCATGTTTAAAACTTTGAAATTTTAGATGTGTCGCCCTTATAAACTATACTGCGTCATCAGCAAATATCAATTGTGAAAGTTTTCTTTATATCGAATCGCATTTAGTAAATCCTATTTTTTCCTAAGTTTTATTGTATTTTATTAATATTAATATATACCCGTGTTGGTGAGGGAGTGGAAGGAGGATGAAGTCTCGATCCTTCGTCAGTGAGGCCAGAAAAACTACTCTCCCTGCAAAGGGCCAAAATAAAAAACTTTTGCAAAGTATTAAAATAACAAAAAAACGAATAGCAATGGTGCACATTTTAACAATGGTGCCCCTTTTATGGGGTGAAAGGATAGGTCTAAGAAAAATCCTTTCCTTGGAGGGAAAAAACTTATTAACCCTTTTTAAATCAGGGAAAATTTTAAAACCACTGCGGTTAGCAGTTCCGGATACATCTTAAAATATTTAGTGTAAACAAGTTACCTGTGAGGCGAGGAAGGGAAGAAGAATGGAGGGAACTTCATTTTTTGCTGGTTACGTGTGTGAGGAAAAGAATGCAGCAAGCGATTTTTTATTACTGCTTCCCCGCCCCCCCCTTTGGTGGACGTTTTTTTGCCCTCCCCCCCTGGTTGGAGAAGGTCCAAGGTGACACAGCACCTGCCATTTTTTCCCTCCATCCAAAGTTTTTTTTTCATTTTGCATCGCCGTTAGCAGAACAAATCTGATAAGATTTTTTTTACAGTATCACCTGCTTGGCGACAAAAATACAACCCCAAAAAAAAAAATATTGAACGCATACCGGAGTATATTGGGAGGGTTCCGGGGGGTAACGGGCCCCCTGCCCAATCTGAGACCCGGCCTCCTGGTGGAAAAAGGGTCGATCAATTGGTGTTTTATGTGGCCGCACGAAAATGACATACGAACCCACAGCCCGGATGGTCAGTACTGATTTTAGGTGCCCGTGAGGGGCCCTCTTTAAAACAGTAGGGTCTATTCGAAATCCCCCCCTTTTTTAAAACCCGGGGGGGCAGTTGAAGAGTCTTGGGCCCGGCACTTACTTTGGTTTTTCGTTCAGGGTACTCGTGGCGCCCCCGCTTTTTATTGGGAATGGTTTTCATCGCCTGGCGCTCTTTTTTTTTTAAGGGGGGTGTTTTCGTGTGAAATTTTGGTACTAATCCAATTTTTCCTTCATAAAAACAGTCACATTAGTTAAAAAATTTGAAAAATAGGCAGATTTTCTACGTACTTTCTTTTTCCCAAACAACCGAGGGCCCACCAGATTGCCGGCCTACTTAAACTCACATCCCCTATCAAATGGGCTTACGTAGTTCCTGATACGAGAGTCCCCCTAATTATGCCTGCATAACCGGGGGCCTTAAATATAGTAGTATGTCATTAGTTATCTAAGTCTGTATACCTTTTTAAATGTATTGTAGAAATATTTTTATCATTAGATTTAAATCATATTTTTATTATTAAAAACGATGGGTAGAAACCAGAGAAGACCCCCCGAGAAAAAAGCACATGGCTACCCAAAACAGAATCCCATTAGCACCCACCCTCAAAATTTTTCCTGCCTTAAACCTTGCAAAAATTGGCCTAATGATAATTTTTACTAGTCAAAAAAAAACAAGGTGTGGAAGTAACCAAGAATGAAAAATAATAGGGAAAAGGGAAAAGTCCTGGTTGTGAAATACGTATTTAAAAACATTCGAAACATTTGCGAAATTCCCAGGTTTAAACTTATGGAAAATAAATTCTCTCAGGGGCAAAAACGTTTTTTCCATACGTAACTGCCATGTTTGTTTTTTCGTTTACCAAAAAGAATTGTGTGAACACTTGTTGGGACAGGAAATAAGAAAGAAAAGTTTTGTTCGGAAATTTTAACCCTGGGGGGTTAAAAACCCCCTGCATAACAGAAAAAAGTCAAGTGTCATCAAAGAGTGTTTTTTCCATTGTGGGTCTTCATATTGC